TAAAACAGATTGTATTTCCATAATAGTGTAAAACAGATTGTATTTCCATAATAGTATAAAACAGATTGTATTTCCATAATAGTGTAAAACAGATTGTATTTCCATAATAGTGTAAAACAGATTGTATTTCCATAATAGTATAAAACAGATTGTATTTCCATAATAGTATAAAACAGATTGTATTTCCATAATAGTGTAAAACAGATTGTATTTCCATAATAGTGCAAAACAGATTGTATTTCCATAATAGTGTAGCCGAATGTGTAATGCAGTTTACTTTTGACCAGAAGAAGTGAACGGTGCAAGTTCGAATCCACGTTCAGATTAACTTTTTTTAACATTTTGGCATGCGATCTTTTTCCTTAATTTAGTAATGAAATATTTTTCAAATCAATGGAACTTTTTTTTTATATTTTATAACATACATATTGATTTATCTTCTATGGAATCATGGAATCAAATCCCTGTACACGTGTACAGTACAGCTTCGCTTTGTAGATAAGACGTAATTTTAAATGATATTTATGAATTGTTTTACCCTCCAATTGGCACTAGTAATTTTATTTATTATTTAAACACAAAATTATAGATAATTCTAGATATTAAATGATTTTTATGATAGTTTTAATATACTTCTAACATCTAGGGGATTTAGATGAATTTCTGTTTTAAAGTTTGATTATCAACTGTTAAACACCACACTCTTAGTCACATAACCATTCTAAATGTTACAATAATAAAGTTTCATTTTATAATTATTTGTATTATTATTTTATAATATGTTTAAAGTACAAAGTTATTCCATTTTTTAACACATTTCATCTTATCATATGTCATATCAGCATGATCAAATAAAAGGTAGCTAAAAGTAATAATAATAATATACAGCATTTATATAGCGCCCTATATAATTTGTAAAATTACTCTAAGGCGCTTTACAACATATGGATAATATGTAATGGTTATAATTGTGAAAACAAACAACAAAGGTTTGCAATCACTTTCATACATTTAACAAGCAATGTGCACATAATTGAACAAATAAAAGGGTGGTATTTACATGACGTCTTTGCAAAAATTCTAAAATGCAGACGTGAAGAGGTGAGTTTTTATGTCCCTCTTGAACTTGGCCAGGGTATTTGACTTCCTAATAGCAGATGGTAAGCTATTCCACAACGTAGCCGAAACCCTCCCAAAGCATCTGTTTCCGTAGGTCACAGTACGAGATTTTGGGACACACAACAAAGATTCTGACTCCGACCGCAGTGATCTTGACGGCTGATACAGGGTAACAAGTTCCTGTAGGTACTGAGGAGCTGTTCCATTCAGTGCCTTGTATGTGTATACCAGAATTTTGTACTGCGACCTGTATCGTACAGGTAACCAGTGCAACGAATAAAGCGCAGGTGTGATGTGCTCTCTCTTTCGAGTACGAGTAACTAGCCGTGCTGCAGTGTTCTGGACCCTCTGCAGACGACTAGTTAGTTTGTCAGATATACCACAGAGCAGGGCGTTACCATAATCCAACCGAGAGGTAACAAGTGAATGCACCAAAATCTTGCATGCATCTGCAGTTAGAAACTGCCGAATACAGCCGATGTTCCTGATCTGGTAGTAACAGGATTTGGCAATAGCGTTCACTTGTTTCTCCATGTTCAGAGAACTGTCAAAGTATACCCCTAGGTTTTTAACAGCTGGAACAGTCTCAATAGTTCTGGCACCAACCTTGAGCTGGAGAGCCATTGTTTGCTGACACTTTGGGGAAAAGACGATTAGTTCCGTCTTTTCCTGATTAAGTTTAAGCATGTTGGCGTTCATCCAGATACTGATATCTGTCAGACAAGCTTCCAGACTTTCTGAGACTGTATTCCAACTGTCCTGTGGTTTTATGACCATGTAAATTTGTGTGTCATCAGCATAGCAATGATAGCGAAGGCTATGGCGACGACAAATCTCTCCAATCGGTTTGGAGTACATACAAAATTTTCGTGGTCCTACAATGTAACACCGACCCTTGAGGAACCCCGAAATCTAGTACTTTGTCATGTAAGGTGGCAGATCCGATGGCAACACACTGCCGTCGTTAACTCAGGTAAGACTGTATCCAGCATAGTGCGGTATCAGCCACTCCATAAGAGTGTTCCAGACGTTTATAAAGTATGCCATGGTCGATGACGTCAAATGCAGCTGACAAGTCCAGCATGACAAGCACCGCTCTGCATTTGTTATCCAATGCAGAAGCTATATCACTATGTACAAGTAGGAGGGCCGTCTCAGTAGAGTGTCCCATGCGGTAGGCCGATTGCATGTTGTTATGGAGACTGTTTGCATGGAGATGAACCTCTAAACGCCGGGACACAACCTTCTTAAAGATCTTAAACAGAAAAGGCAGATTTGAAACTGGGCGGTAGTTTTTCAACTCCTCCTTGTCCATTCCAGGCTTTTTTAGTAAAGAGAAATATAAAGATACCAAATATTGCAGTTGGTGCAGTAGATTTATTTTGGTCACTGTTGTGTCCGCAAGAGCAAATCCCCAATTTTGCAGCCAGGGGGTTCCCAAATATGTGACCTCTTACGATAAATGTAGGTAACAGCAGGTGTAATGATGTAAATGGAGGGTGTAATGATGTAAATGGAGGGTGTCATCGATGTAAATGGAGGGTGTCATCGATGGTGTAATGATGTTAATGGAGGGTGTCATCGGTGAAGCCGACAAAGACGCTTACCCTTCCGGAACACCTTGTCTGTTCTCCTTGTATTTAAAAAATCCCACCAAAAACACCCCACGCCATTTCCGATAATATAGAGGTCTTTCATTTTCTATGATTAAAACATAGATAATTGACATCCTCCTCCTCCTCTTATTTACTTGGACAAATCAATTCAGTTTTGACTTTCTGTAGACAATATGTCAACATGTGAATAGATATATATGCAAACTCGTGTGTCTAATATATTTATATACAGTTCGGTGAGACGTATCTGCGAAAATCTACCCCACCAAAAAGAAAAAAAGAAGACTGTCATCCATATCCCCCGCTCGCAGTGCAAGTCATTAAAAACATGCAGCGTAAACATATATAGGTCAAAATCAGCATCCACAATATGCGTTCAGTAGAGCAACCATGGATACACAATTGATGCAAGTATAATCAACATTTTACTTGTAGTAGGCAAGATATAGATGGGAGCAATTCTTCTTAACCTTACATGAAAGTAAGGGGAATTTTCTTAACCAAGTCAATGAAGTGTAAAATATAGGTCAAATCAGCATCCGCAATATGTATTCAGTAGAGCAACCCTAGATACACAATTGATGCAAGTATAATCAACATAGCACTTGTAGTAGGCAAGATATAGATAAGAGCAATTCTTCTTAACCAGGTGCATGAACGAACGGACGGACCCCATTTCTATATCCCCGCTCAACGAGAAAAGACAAGCTTATGAACAAATTAATATCAGTCTTTAACCCACTTTCGTACACAATGGACAATATCTGTGTCTGTTTTCAATACCTTGTCTACCAGTTTCAACATTTCAATACCGATTAATATATGATATTGTAATGCATATTATCGGTATTAGTTCGTAACAATAAGATGTTTTAATCCTTACTTTCTCACTCAAGCATTGATTGCCTATCAATAGTGTTTTTCAAGTAAGTTTTCAAACCAATCTCATCCAAAGATATTTGCATACCAAACTAAATTTTGATGAAATGACCGATATTTTTACAAGTTCAGGTATAAAAACATTCTAACGAGAACATGGTCAACAATCGGATACATATAAATGTTCCAATAACATCTTCGTGTTGTCTCGTCTTTCTTCCTTTAAATAGTAACAGAAAAATAAACTAATATTAACAGAAATGTGTATAAACAGGTGCGTGTGAGAAACACGTGGCATTGTATACAAATTTAATTTCTGGCGGGAAAAGCCTTTAGCGAAATCACGTGACACGAAGTTTCCATCGTGGTTACTTCCAGGTCACATGATAAACAAAGCTGGTTGCAGGACCTTGGCAAGGTGCCCTGAAGGTGTTTCGTATATGAATGAATATTTTATGATGTCACAGACAACTCCATGATGGCATTGAAAACTACGACCCATCTTTCCAGCACGCTGCCACACGTTTTGAAAGAATATGTGCCGGATTATGAGCCCAAACACACAGCGTAGGTACCGAGCCCAACTGTTTACATGTCAACCATTGACACATGCGCGTAACGGTCAGTTCACGTTGTAAGCATAACGATGATTAATGAATGAAATACGGCTGTAGTAAATATGTGTTTATGTTATAAGCATATATATAGCCAAATATAACAAGTCTGTGATATATTTTCGATGACAATTTAGATACAGGTAATATAAACTCGATGAACATTGTAGCTCATTACTTGTTGCTTTCATTGAGCTAAGGGAGATAACTCGGTGATCTTGCCCCATACAATACACACGCTATGGGACACGGGCATTGATCGCTTTACTTGTAATATTAAAAAATAGGGGTCTCCTTTTAGTATACCAGTTTCTGAGCACATCAGGTGAAATTCAATGGATAAACGGATTAGAGCAAACTTAAGCATTTCTTTCTTTACATTGTTTATCAACAGTATTAGTCTTCAATTTTTCCAGGAAAGTCAGTTTGCAATCACTTGCTTTGCAATCCTGTCGTTTCAATGAGCCATTTGTATAACAAACATGGTATAATACAGTGATACCACTAATGCTACAAATAGACAGAAATGTATCTCGAGAAACTGTCTACAACATTTAAAATTATTTGTGTCTATTACAATTTTGAATTTCATACACCAAAATGTTTTGTATATATCAATCAGTTTGCGCGCAGTAGATAACTGTTGAAGCTACGGATGACACCCATAGAAGTGTTAAATCTACTAATGGAAACAAAACAATTAGCAACATAAAACTGTATTTAAACATAAAAAGAACAAATATTTTTCAACTCGTTGCCATTTTATCTGCTGGAAGTATCCATCAAAATAATCATCAAAACATTTGTTTTCAAAATTGCCCATTTTTTTATTGACTTTATATGTCAACTTAAAGGAATTCATATAATTAAATAACTTTATTTCATCTTATTTATTTAGTAATAATAGAATCTGGTATTATTTTATTGTGTGGTTATTATTGGTTTTGTTTGATGGTACGTTAGTTTTCATTCTTTGTCCATTTAAAATTGATGAAAATTGGAAGTTCAGGCAAAACGAGATTAATATGACACTACTAGTAGTACTCTTGTACGTTTGACAGACTACAAAAAAGACGGTCATGAATGAAATGGATCAGTTTTTTCAGGAATTGGTTCATTTTGAGGAAGATTAAAAGTGTATATAATAAAAAAACTGCTAATTTCTGCTTGCTTTTTAATCTGTTATAAATTCTTACGTTGTTCAAAAGAACTTCAGGTAATTTTTTGTCGGTTAACAGACATTCTAACACGATTCCTTTGCAACATGTGTTTTGATTGGATATGGACCATGTTCTAATCTGCGATAGAATCATGATCAATCTTGTTAAGCTCCTCCCATCGCACTCAAGCCACGCCCTGTTTCTAAGCAAAACAATATGGCGTCAAGCAAGCCGCTTAGCGAAATCACACTGACGATAAAGCTAGCAGGTAACAACAGAAACGACCGATGAAATGTATTTGTTGAATGAACTAAAAAGTAAAAAGTAAACATTCCTTGTTCTTACCTCCATTTATTACTGAAACATTCGTTCCATCCGTGTGAAGGCATCTAGTTAGATCCGAAATCAAAGGAAACTTTTCACATGTGTCGAATGCATTTACACAAAACTCTTCACAAATCTATACAAATAATCACCGACTTTGTGGATAAGCACAGATTGGTATGCATACTGACATCCATGGAAATGTAAGAATTTGGTCAATAATAATCCAAATGTGTCATATAAACTTTGGTAACAGGATGTTCACGAACAATCCAAATATTCCGCCTCATTAACATACAGATCGAGCGCTCGCCAGTATGGGCGAGGCCAAATGACCGTCTTTTGAAAGCTTCTTTCTGATTCGTCAGTCTGCTGCAGAATGACACGTCGCCAGTTCAGGTCACAAAGTACTTAACTACGTACTTTTGTACAAGGCAATACAATGTTTCTAAACATATTAGCGTAATTTATTTGTTAAGGTGTGTTAGAATGGGGATAGTACGTTGTCTATACTGGCGATTAGAACATGAAATTTGGTTTAAACTCTCGACCTATTGGTCTTGAGTTCAAACCAAATTTCATGTTCTAATCGCCAGTATAGTCACTCAAAACAATGTACTATTCCCTAAATGGCCAAATGTCTAAAATGTCCTAGTGTACTGTCGAGCAGGTCACGTAGTAATGAGATAGTATACAGCTTGATAAAATTGCTGCGCGGAAATATAAAATGCGCAGAAACTTATGACTATATAGGCGATATAGGTACCTATCGTGAATAAGCTTTTTCTTTTGCATAGGATAAACTTATATTTACTTAGAATATAGAAGGAAGTCCCCTGTTATAACACATTATGACACTTTACTTTTTGGTGTTGACAGTACTATGCTATATAACCATCTGTGTTATTTCTTCTTTTTGAATTCTTTTATGCAGTCCTGCCAAACTTTTAACACAATCTGGATTAGAGTCTCCTACAAAGACTGACCAGTCACAGGGTCAACAGTCGAGTGGAGATCTGAGCAGGCAGCAGTCCCACCGTACCACCGTCCACACACGGACAGCCAGCCCATCACCTACTCAGTATGGCCGTAAAAAGAAGCAATTGAGTGATGCTGAGGTATGTAATGTTTAAACTCTAGGTGGAGGGGATATATTGCCTTGCTGCCTATGGAGGCATTTTGGCCCTATACCAATATATGCAGACTTTTGCGTGTAAACCTGCAGCATTTTACAAGGTAAACTATTGTGTTTTCACTTTGCGTGTAAACCTGCAGCATTTTACAAGGTAAACTATTGTGTTTTCACTTTGCGTGTAAACCTGCAGCATTTTACAAGGTAAACTATTGTGTTTTCACTTTGCGTGTAAACCTGCAGCATTTTACAAGGTAAACTATTGTGTTTTCACTTTGCGTGTAAACCTGCAGCATTTTACAAGGTAAACTATTGTGTTTTCACTTTGCGTGTAAACCTGCAGCATTTTACAAGGTAAACTATTGTGTTTTCACCTTATGGTGACATCTAATTAAGCTTCATTTAAATGTATATCTATTGCCTCAATAATGCTGATAATTTTACACAGTTAAGCATACAAATTGCGACTGCCACATCATTAGACGTTCATGTTTGGAGCTAATGTGTGTCCGATTCATGTGAAGCACTCCATAGTTGTTTGTGAAGAAAATCCCAAAATGTCTCGTTGTTTATTCATCTTTCAATTATTGAAAATATTTTCTAAATTAATAAGATTTATCCCATCTGTTGAACTGATTTTGCTGTAATGACAGTGACACAAGATCACATGACTTTCAGTTTTGCTTTCAATTTCCCAAGAATTTTAAAAGTAATGCATGAATTAAAATATTCTTGGTAATGAATTATGTTTGTTTTGTTATGAAATATCGTTTTGGTCTCGTGGGACTCTTTCTCCTCTGATCTTGCAAATTGCACTGTTATAAATACACCTATAGTTAGAAGCTTTTCTTATTGCGTGATGTTATATCCCGGCGCGTTCCATTTAGTTTCATGTATTTCCACTGTATGTGTTGCTCAGCGTCAAAGCCATTCCTATGCGCAGCATTTCTGCCTCTTAGATGTTTTAAATACGGGCCAAATATATGTTTTGCAGGAATCCCACAAGGACGCATCCAGTAATAAACACTGCCTAACATGTGTGCAGTAACATTTCTTTCTTTATTCCCAGATATGAATTCTGTTTATCATGTACCAGTATTTCAGCGATATTAATATTTTAGATCATTTCATCGCTATTGAAAGTGTTAAATCATTGATGTAGATCACACACCACCCTGTCTGTAGGTATTATGTAAATTTCTGTTCTTTCAAAAGAAGTTCACACACCTTGCAAGCACAACTCTTTCTGAACGGTTTGCCACAGTAAAAGTCCATCATATATGTTGATGTCCATGAAGAAAGGAGTTTGCAATCCAACAATTTTTCCAAGAGTTATGGCCCTTGAAACTTTGAATTTCTGCCTCAGAAACCTTGTTAGCACAACTCCTTTGAAATTATATATAGATTTATTTGTAACTTGGCACAGTGAAAGTGTATGGTATGCAGATGTATATGAAGAAAGGGATTTCTGATTTGTTTATTAGACACCCTGGAAACAAAGTCTGAATATGTAGATATAGATAGCAGGGGGTTGGATGTGGGAGGGGTGGGAGTTCCATCTTTGTGAGCTCCCTCACAATTTCTCTAGTTTCTTCACTTATTTCCTGACAAATGACAGTATAAGCCCAGTAACTCTGTGTCAACACACTACAACATATATTTACCATGTTCTCAAGATATCATTATGATTAGTTAAAAGAGCCTTACAGTGAATTAACATTTCAAAAACTTGGAACCAAATCTCAGAAATTAGGAAAAAGATTGTCGAGTATCAGAGGAACTTTCATCTGCTATAAAATGCTTGGAGTTTGAAAAAAAATTTATCTTTCAACTCGCTTCCCCTCGAAAATCCTTCAGAAATAGTGGTAGCACATGTGATTACATGATCTGAGGAAATGTAAGATGGACAGTTTTGAGTTTTATAATTGTTTTGATGAAAAATTCACACTTTATTGCTAGAATATCATCACAGTAAGGATCAACACAACATGTCTATTCTTAATTATTGCTGGGTTTTTCTGACTTTTTGTATAGGTCTGTTAGCAGCTTTATCAAATTCCAAATCTGCATTCCCTGTAAGAGTTATTTCCCTTAGATTGAAACACAACCTGTATTATTGATTTTATTCACAGTTTGAAATACAATATAAAATATGTAATGTAGAAAAACGTAATACATATCCTACTGTTGAATGCAGTCAGTAAACCCCTAAAAACACAAGAAGAATTCTAGACAGGCTGAATTGTTGAATGATATGTAACATATTAAAAATTAAAGTACCAAAGACTGGATATTGACAAAAAAAATTCTGCAGATAATTCTGTTTCCAAATCGTTGAATGCATCAACAAATAACCTTTTTTTTCTAATTTCAACTTCATGCATGCATATAGTAAACAGCAACATTTTAAATCACCCCAAAAATGATGACATCATAAGTTGATGTGTACATAGTAATTTTCCCTGGCTTCTTGTTTGTGGCATTGATAAACGTGTGTTTTATGGCTAACTGGGCCTTGCAGGACAAAAAGTGATGTTTCAGTTTGGTAAATCCAAACAAATGTTGACTATAGAGCTAAAATGTGTTGGAATCAATCAAGTGTGATGGGGCTGCCCAGAAATCAATGGATCCAGAACGGTACGCCATTGACGAAGCTTGACTGACATACACATCTCATTCCCATTCCAGTGTTGCAATATTGATCTTGCTGGTTCCATTATAGACTAGTACAAGCTATGTAGCTCCAGCTTCCGTCTCTTTAACCATCCCACCGCTGCCACCGATCAGCCCCTGGTACACACAGTATTACCAACCCCTGTCCGTTATAAACACTAGGCTGTAGATGCGCCATATGAATTACAATAGTCCTTCATGGATTGGCGCTAGCGTAATCACCATCCGTCGTCACTGGATACCAGATGACTCCATTTTAATTAACGGTATCATAGTTGTCCTGTTCGATTTATTATGAGAGTAAATTTATTTGAACAGTTTAGTATTGTGGCAAATAAAAAATACCAACACTGTCAGCACAGTCATGACATATAGTGCCAGCATAAAACTCATTGATCTGCGTGTAATAAAACGCTGCTCTATGATAGAACGGCCTCATTCCATCACTCTCAGGGACTATGTGTTCAGTTTGAAATATTTACTTTCACATCTCCAAATTTGTGATAGATACTGATGGTATCTATTGGACACATAATAATGTTCAAAACCAGTGTTATCAAAAAATAATAATAGAAGATACAGATTTGATTTATTTGAAAAATTACCCATGCCACAAATTTAAATTATTATGAAACAGTAAAAAACACATATGTATAATTGGTCCAATCAACCCATTTTTAATAACCATCTCTGTTTCTATTATATTTTTTTTTAAACCTCCAAGAAGATTAAATATTAAATATATTTTACACTCATAGATTTCAGCTAATAGATGCAGCTCATAGATTTCAGTCTTAATGTCAATGAATTGTCCAGTACTGCATTAAATTATGTAGAAACAGATTTTTTTGTTTTCTTCCAAACACTAAATTTCCTTCCGTATGTACTTAACTGAAATTAAGTAAATCTCATAATGTTAACCTTCCTTGTATAATTAAGTATCCCTGTCGCACTGCTTGTATAATTAAGGATCCCTGTCCCACTGTTTGTATTATTATGGATCCCTGTCCCCCTGTTTATATAATTAAGGATCCCTGTCCCACTGCTTATACAATTAAGGATCCCTGTCCCACTGCTTGTACAATTAAGTATCCCTGTCCCACTGTTTGTATAATTAAGGATGCCTGTCCCACTGCTTGTATAATTAAATTTCCCTATCCCACTGCTTGTATAATTAAGGATCCCTGTCCCACTGTTTGTATAATTAAGTATCCCTGTCCCATTGATTGGATAATTAAGTATCCCTGTCCCACTGTTTGTATAATTAAGAATCCCTGTCCCACTGTTTGTATAATTAAGCATCCCTGTCCCACTGTTTGTATAATTAAGAATCCCTGTCCCACTGTTTGTATAATTAAGGACCCCTATCCAACTACTTGTATAATTAAGGAACCCTGTCCCACTGCTTGTATAATTAAGGATCCCTGTCCCACTGTTTGTATAATTAAGAATCCCTGTCCCACTGTTTGTATAATTAAGCATCCCTGCCCCACTGTTTGTATAATTAAGTATCCCTGTCCCACTGATTGGATAATTAAGGATCCCTGTCCCACTGTTTGTATAATTAAGGATCCCTGTCCCACAGTTTGTATAATTAAGGACCCCTGTCCAACTACCTGTATAATTAAGGATCCCTGTCCCACTGCTTGTACAATTAAGTATCCCTGTCCCACTGTTTGTATAATTAAGCATCCCTGCCCCACTGTTTGTATAATTAAGTATCCCTGTCCCATTGATTGGATAATTAAGTATCCCTGTCCCACTGTTTGTATAATTAAGGATCCCTGTCCCACTGTTTGTATAATTAAGGATCCCTGTCCCACTGTTTGTATAATTAAGGATCCCTGTCCCACAGTTTGTATAATTAAGGACCCCTGTCCAACTACCTGTATAATTAAGGATCCCTGTCCCACTGCTTGTACAATTAAGGATGCCTGTCCCACTGTTTGTATAATTAAGTATCCCTGTCCCACAGTTTGTATAATTAGGGACCCCTGTCCAACTACCTGTATAATTAAGGATCCCTGTCCCACTGCTTGTATAATTAAGGATCCCTGTCCCACTGTTTGTATAATTAAGGATCCCTGTCCCACTGTTTGTATAATTAGGGATCCCTGTCCCACTGTTTGTATAATTAAGTATCCCTGTCCCACAGTTTGTATAATTAAGTATCCCTGTCCTACAGTTTGTATAATTAAGTATCCCTGTCCCACAGTTTGTATAATTCAGTATCCCTGTCCCACAGTTTGTATAATTAAGTATACCTGTCCCACTGCTTTTACAATTAAGGTTGCCTGTCCCACTGTTTGTATA